TGCTGTTTTTTTGTTTTGTTTTCTTTTGACTGCTCCTCAGACTCAGGACCAGCTCACCTGACTGGAGCACCGAGCTCTTAAGCACAATTGATAAATGACAATTGATGTAAAGCAACTGCCATGAGTTTCTTGTATACTGTTAGAGCTGAGAGGCATGGAGTGACAGGCCTTGTGTTTGTAAATATTTAGAAAGTCCACTGTATTTTCAGTATAGTAAAATGTTTGTACAGTTATTATACATTCTATTTTATAACTTTGTTTCTGTTTAAGCTGTGAGTAAGTATGTACAAGTAAGTGTATGATCACATTGTTGAAATTCTTAAGTGGTCCTGGTGACCTTGTTGACTGAGTGTGTGTATAATAAGTACTTGCTTACTGACATTCATGATTTAACAAAGCACTTTGGCAAGATGAGCTCTTGCCATTCGTTCTCATTTACGTAACGCTGTCACCCAGCAGCCTACGCTTAAGTGACTTTTTATTTGACAGCTGCTGGACTTACTGTACTGTCTGATACTTGCATTACATTCAGTTAACAAAAACACATAAATTCCTCCTCATCTGCACCCTGTACACCAAGCAGGGTTATGGTCATATGCCTGAATACACTAAACTAGACGGTAACATAACACAATATTATTTCTGAATCAAGAATGGAGTACTCAATTAATGTATATGCACAATGTTTATTTGTTTTTGTACAATGTACCAAAATAACTCAAAAGGGAATTCTGTGATTTATTTACAGTTTTTTAAGCAATACCTTTTTTAAAGTGGGGTTTGAATAATTGATGTTTTATGGGACCACCAAGGATATATTTCCTTAAAAACAGTACAATCAAACTAATAATAGACACATAAAAACTGAAAATAAATGTTTTTCATGGTTTAATCAACACGTTTTTTAATAATGAAATTAATTTATTGACACAGTAATGGATCTATAAATGTACAGATTATTTGATTCTAGTATTTTGTATATTTCCTTTTGGTCTTCGCTGTATAGTGTAGATGTCAGTTTTAGACATTTGGGCAACAGTGTACTGTTTGATGTGACATACAGAGCATAAAAAGACTTTTTAAATCTCTTTGAACAGATGTCAGTGTGAGTTTCTTTGCACTGAGCATATTAGATGTCAAAGTTGTTAAGTTGGAACAGCTCTGATCTGTCCTAATTCAAATTTACTTCCAAAAATGTGGAAATGTCACATGTGTGTGATGGTTCATTATGTTAATATTGTCTTTCACTATTAACTGACAAAAATCTGCCTAGATGTGATGCAGCTCCACAGCTTATTACTGGACTTCACCACAGTAATTTGTGATTATATGATGCTGGATTAGACATGGCTGTGTGCCTGTTTCATCCGCATGTACATTTGCATTTTAATCACTTTGTAAGTTG